TTTATACAAATTACATAGGATCACAAAAAATATTTAGAGAGAACCAAACCAGAGGTGTTTTTTTCTAGATTTTGGATTGCTGAATCCGAATTCCTAAGCTGTTTTACTCTATTACATCCAATTTTTAATCGAGAATAATGATGGAAAATTTATGACAATTTAAGAAATTTGAAGAAATAGCAAAAGTAAATATGACATTAAAATGCGATTGCAGGATTAAATATATTTTTGGTAAGTTAAACAAAATGCAAAAAACTAAAAAATTTTACTTTATTAATGTTAGATATTATAACTTAATACGTCATAAAATAAACTTATGTAAAATATTGTGCAACAAACAGTCAGGCGATCTGCATGAGTCATGAAAAGTTATTTCGGCTTCAAAAATGGATATTTTAATTATCCCTAGAACATAAAATATCCAACAATTAAAATATCCATTTTTGAAATTTAAAAAACCTTCCATGACTCACACACATTATCTGACTGTTTATTGCATAATAGTACTTTATATGGATTTGTTTTATGATGTGTTAAGTTATAATACTTAATATTAGTAAAATAAAATTTGTTTTTGTTCTTACACTTTGTTTAATTTAACAAAATATATTTAAATTAGTTCTGTGATCACATTTTAATGTCATATTTATTTTTGCTCATTCAAATATTTCAATTTTTACAAATATTTCAGTTCTTAGATTTTTCATCATTTTTATCTGAATATGATAAAGCAAATGATTTTTTCGAGTAATTTGGATTCAATCCATAAACTATAAGAAATAATTATTCTGTGATTTGTATTTTTCTCCACAAAATTTTTTGTGATTTTCTAGTTACTAATTGTATTTGTATAGTAAATGTGAAATCTTTTTATATTATATTATATTAAAATGTGATGAAAAGATTTAATTTATTTTTTTTTGCCAATTATACATTGGATGTGTTCCGATATATACTGTCAGTACTGAAAATCTACAGTATACATAAGGTAACATAAATAAATATAAATTTTCACTGACAGTGTAGCGGAATACGGTCGTTACATACTATACTTTATGTTTCTTACGCTATAATGATTTGTTAATATATTTAATAAATATATTGCTATCAAAATTAATATACTATAGTATAGAATTTTATTATAAATAATTATTTAATATGTTATGATTTTTAATTTCTTATTGCAGCCTGACAGTCCGTATCAAGGAGGAGTATTTTTCCTAACAATACACTTTCCAACAGATTATCCTTTTAAGCCTCCTAAGGTACATATTACAGTTGAAATGTATATTGCAAAAGTAAAGGATACAAATAAATGTCCGCCACAAAAAATATTATTTACCATTTGTTTTCAGGTGGCATTCACGACTAGAATTTATCATCCCAATATCAACAGTAATGGAAGTATTTGTTTGGATATTTTACGATCTCAATGGTCTCCCGCACTCACTATATCAAAAGGTACGCGTGTTTCATGTAATATGCATTTGGAAAATATATTATATTTTGTATCAATAGCTTTCTAATATTATTAATCATTTTACAGTGTTATTGTCAATATGCTCCCTGCTATGCGATCCAAATCCAGATGACCCACTGGTACCAGAGATAGCCAGGATATACAAAACCGACAGGGAGAAGTATAATGAATTGGCACGTGAATGGACGCGCAAGTATGCCATGTGATGCGCCAATCTCCATTGACTTCAACATCCAAACACCACCAAGAAACAGCCCCAGCCTATTGCCACTTACGCATCAGCACCGATTGAAATTAGCTATGGCTCGTATACTTTTAAACTTAAGCAGTATTCGGGCCCGAGGAATCCTCAGGCAAACGTGATCGATCTGAACTTCTCGCGGTTCGTCAAGTCCGCGAAAAATGTTGCCACAACGGCAATTGAGGCAATTTTTGAAGGTGGTCATCCAGCATTATATATACTGAATCAGACAACACATGTCCGCTTTGTTTTTTCATAAATAAAAAAAATGGAAGTAACATATAGGAGAGTGAAAGTAGGATTTGTATTTGAATCTAATTTGATTGGTTTCTAATTATTGTGCTTATGATAATTGTAACATTACGATACCTACTTTCTCAGTGAAACTAAAAAAAACTTTGAACTGACAGCACATCGATTGTTAGTCTTAACGCAAGTGAGCAATGTTTGCCCGTCCCTTGAAACGATGTGGTCACTCTTTTGTAAGACTGGGCTATATATATATATATAAATATTACTGAAACTGTACGTGTATGCTTTGTTCAATTATTAAAATTCCTTATACCTGACAAATTCTACGAGTAACTCGAAATCTGTGCTTTTGGTTCCTGTGTGTGTGTGTAGTAATTTAATTATGCATATCGTTAATCGGCAAGTGGCAACCGTGCAACTTTAAGTAATCGGAAGTATCTGCAAACGCTGGATAAAAAGATTGTCTGATACCCGGAGTATGATCTGCAGTATCGCAGGCAGGTCTATGAGGTTCGTTATGTAATTTATTGGAAGTATAAGCGGATCGCTCGTGTCATCCTTTTTTGGCTTTATGCCGATAGGAAGCAGTCGATGGGTCACTTGATAAATGATGTAAGGGAGAACAATTCCGATTATTTAAATTTACATACGCATCGCGTTATGAATTAGGCGGCAAATACGTCGACGATGCGACGGGATCGCTACTGGATTGTTAAAATCTCAGCGACTCGTCTCACATATAGTGCATAAATGCTATTAAGTTTATGCGTCGCGTTTTGCGAATCGGGAATTCGCATTACTCGTCGTCCATCGCGACGCTATTTTACTCGCATCAATACTTTTTACTGCTGTTTTGCGTGCAGATGTTTCTTTAAGCAGCGATTTTTTTTATTATTATTTAGTTTTCGCGACCAGATGTTTTTCCTTTCATCCACAATATAAACGCGTATAGTTGTGACGCGTGACTGTACTGTCCATTGCTGGACGAACGATAGACTTAAATGCAATCTGTTATTTAAACGTTACGATTACAATATTGTATCTCCGATATATTGTGGCTGTAAGGGTAAGGCGATGTGATTACATATTATTTCTTAAAAATCTAGCTATATACAAAATGAACAAAATGTGTCGTTAAATTGCGAAATGTCATTCAGCGCGATATAGATTGATTTAAGATTATATGAAACTACATAATTGCACTGTTTGATGGTGCTAGCAGTGTGTTTTTGGCTTCTACTCATAGTTAAATAAAATCTGATACGTCATTTTAAAAAGAAAGATACGATTACTTAACTAGTGCGTAAGTAAAACGATTTTGTCTTGCGAACCACGTGTAAAGCGAAAAGCGCGTTAGAGCGAAACGTCTCAATGTAATCGGTGCTTAAATACGGCAAGCTGATGGAGCGACTAAAGGAACCTAGAGAAGACAAATCGATTAGTATGTAATGCGGCGGCCCGCTGTTTACGCCGACCTTGTCTCATACGACCGTGTATTTGCTGTAATTTAATTACGAGTAAACGCGTCGAATCTGATATTTAAAAGTTATAGCCCTCGAAAAGAAAATTGATCATCGTTCACTTTCTAGTAGAAGACGACTATTCATGTGTATAATTAATTATTACTACCGCAATAATGAACATTTTTAATAACTTATCTTGTGTACATTTTAGCATTAGCCCTTTATATAATAAAGTCCACATGATGATAAGGTAAAGCAACGAATTAGTCTTTTTCTTTTCCCCGCGCGCGTGCGGACGATAAGCAGATAGCATTGTAATCACGATCACGTTTCTCATTATGTAGTCATCAGATTTTCTTATCGTGTAATTCAAGATTCGTGCCAAGTTGCACAAATATTATTGTATTAACGACGATCTCGCGTTCGAAAGTGGTCTTAGTCCACACGTCTTTCTCAATTCTTCAATGTCAGCGATGTGACCTATGTGAAAGTAACACGAAACTGACTTTTGTGTGTGTGTGTGCGTGCGTGCGTGCGTGCGTGTGTGTGCATGTGTGTGCGTGTGTGTGTGCTCTTGAAAATTTTACTACACGCGATCGTCGCGCTTTCGATAAAGAACCTTTTTCGCCGTTAAAACAACGGCGGTTAAAACTTTAAAATTGTAATTCAAGATTGTTTTACATAAGAATGAAATATTTTACATAATGGAAAAAAAATGTTTAAACATTAACAATTTATTTAATTCGGAAAAATTACTGCTTGTTTTAGAATAATTTTATGCATACGGAAGGATCGTGCAAAATTTATAGATCAAATTAAAAATTATGCATAACTATCATAATACGATTCGAATTAAAAATTACGTATAGTATACAGATTGACAGCAATAGCTGAGGTTACAATTTGAAAATTGTAATTCAAGATTGTTTTACATAATACGATGAAAAAAAGTTTAATCGCGTAATTAGCGATTTTTTAAACTCAGAAATTACTGCTTGTTCCGAAGTAATTTCATGCAGATGAAGGGAAAAAATCATGCAGAATTAATAACAGATCAAATTAAAACTTCCGCATAAATATCGTAATACGGATCGACAGGAACAGAGATTGAATCTTGAACTGGAATTCAAGATTGTTTTATATAAGATCATACAGGAAAGAAATGTTTGACTACGCAACTAACGATCTGTTAAACTTAAAAGTTACCGCTTGTTCCGGAGTAATTTGAGGCAGACAGATTATACATATACACAGAATTCATAGATCGAATTAGATATACATACAGGTATCTTATGCACTATTGACAAAACTGAAAGAATTGCGAAAAGAGAATCGTATAATTATTGTGAATCTTATATTATTAATTCATGGATATCGCGATGTGTCCCGACATTGAAGGCCACCCTGCAATCCCGAATCCACGTAGAACCGAACAGGCTCACCGTCTCCAAGTAGTGAAAGTACCAGCTCGTCCCCCCCTTTGTTTCTCAACGGCGGGGGGGGGGGGCTGTGGGTGATCCCCGAGTGTGCTCTTCACGAGAGACATACATCGGGGGGCGACCCTGGCTAGTTGCCGTCGTCCTCGTCGCCGTCACCGTCGCCACCGCCGCCGATTCGCAATCTGACTCGGCCGTTCACTCACCAGTGTTCAGCACTGCGCGTTCGGTGCTCAGTGCGGTCGATCGAATCGCGTTGCGGCCTGATACTCGCACACGTGAAGAGTTCGCCGATGTGTCGGTAAGCGTCTGATCTACGAGGGACGTCGGTGACTCTCCGTTTCCTCGATTGTCCGCAAAACTGTCGATCCACGAGGTACGTAGTCACCGCTTGTAGTTACTTAGAGTCATTCGATAAGGAAAACAAAGCTCTTAGTTGTCCCCGATAAAGAATAAGCACGTTAATTATTGTCATCCCGGTCCTATACGAACGGGACACCGTGCATTGTTTTTTTTTTTTATAATAAATATTTATAAAAGAAAGATAATTGTACTATTATAATTGTACTATTATAATTATACTATTATAATTCATATTTATCCAAAAGTATGTAATAAAGTATGTAATAAAAGACAATTTTATCTTTTTATCGTTGATGAAAAATTAAATTGAGTCTTTTTTTTTTTTATATGTTACGATCAATAAGATGCGCGATCAGGCAAATTTCAATGTGCATCGAATGAACCCGCGTTCGTACGAATTTAAATTACATTCTGAAGCGAGGTTGATTAAATGAAGTATTGATAAAAATGAATCTCGCGCCAAAATTGGCAACGGGTGTACACCTCGCTCGATGGATTCAATGTCATTTTACTTTCAACGCGGCTTCACGACAGAAGTCGGGACTTTGTTCTGCAAATTAAGTGCAGAGATAGTAATCATATTCTGTGGAATATAATATAACTAACGTCTCTACAAAAAGTTTGACCGACCTATCTAATGATGCTGTACGTACATATTTCGAAATGTATTATCGTTTTTATACTTATATATTCACTCGTTATCAGTTAATTGAACTCGAGACTTGTGATACATATATAATAAGAATAATATTTAACTGTATTAGAGATACAGAAGTAATTAGAGATACAGTAATTAGAGATACAGAACATCAAAAATCATTTTTTTAGTCTCTTAATTCAGGAAATTTTAATATATGTGCATATATATACAAGTATATTTTTTAAAATAATGCATACGTATTTATTTGTATTTAATAGTTAAATTTCTTAATTCGAATGACTGAACACATTACGGGATCAATTCATGAAAATTGTTTAAATAATTACATTACGCAGTATCATTCGCCTTTGTCCTTAATTGCTTGAACGATGCAAGTACACTATCCATTGCAGACAATTGATTATTCCTTGCTATTATTAACAGAAAGATAAATACGGGTAAAATTTTTATTGATCAAGACAATGCTGTATTTGTGGTAACATTGTCAATGATTGTACAAAGAGACATTACAGAAATCTGTTTATTTTTTTCTGTAAAAACATATTAAAATTATGTGCATTTAATTGTATATCACGTACTTGTTTACCTGCACTGTCGGAAATACGACTTTAATCAGGAAGATAAATTTGTTCATCCTCTGCTCAGAATAAATTAACGTTTACAGAACGGAAAATCACTATATATAGTAAACAGTCTGCACTATTTTGCATTTTAGCAAGGGAATACGATAAATTTTAATCTCATTCAAGGAATTATTATCAAGTTTAAAATATGCTTTTTCCGCCTTCTAATGATTAAAAATGTAAAAGATTGACTGATTTGCCAACCATTGTCGTATCTGTGTAATTTCATGGCCGTATTCATTCAATGTAAGTTATCGTTATTTTCATTTGTTTTTTATATCATTTTTATATGTCGACTTAATATATTTACTTTATTGTATTGCGTCATTATTATGTATTAATAAATTATATCAATAAAACTATTATCAAAAGTAACAGAAAGGTAAGAAATTTCGGAATAATATATAAATCGTTATGCAAACATGCTCCCAGATACTTCCTGTTCGTGTATATATACTATATATATATATATAATGATGAAAATATAGAGCCTGTGCAATATACTTTTCACTGGGTGTAGACGTACGATCTCAACGGATTCCAAAGTGCGCCTTCGACTTTCTCGCAGATTAGACGTAGCCGTGTGACGCAGAGAGAGTGAACAGAAATCTCTTTCTCTCACACGGAGCCCAAATAAAACGACAACTAGGACATCATTTATATCGAGGCACAAGGAGTTTTACTCGCCCGATCCGATACAGTGTGTTGCGTCGTTGAGTGCATTAATACAATCTCACTTTTTATTTCCTTACTAATAACTAGAAATTCGTAAAATATCAGCCTGAATATTCTTTTCGGTTCAACTGCGAGATTTCTAATCGGTCGATTTCGCATGGCGCGCTCGAAAGTTAAACGCTCCACGATTTTCCCCTTGCGCAGTCTTTCGTGCAATTTTTGTTCAGGCTTAACTACTATAATGATGATACGCTGATTCTTTCTGTGACTGTAAATAAAATTCACTTACAATTAGAACGGCATCACGTAAGAAAGCATTCCGCTGCTTACGACAGCTGTTTCTTGTTTTCCGTAAGGGGCAATCTCCTTTCGCGAGAAAGTTACGTATATCGACGTCACCTTACAAATCAAATCTTGTATTTCTAGTTGGAGTTCTATAAAAAGTAAAATTATTGTCTTGATAAAGATTTTATTTTTGTTTCTTTTCTTTTTTCATTCGTAGTGATACACATTATATTTTGTAAGAATTGCACTAAAAAATAGAACCTATCTCATCATCGTGCGAATAAAAAGAACAAAGGTGAATGATATTGTGTAATATAATTCTGCTTTGATCAAATACTACGAATAAACCTTCCTAATTAACATTCTAATAGTAACATTGTATCATAATTTCTCACTCAACAAAATAAATATAATATAACACACGTTGTACATATATATAGTTACATTATTGTGGGAAATTTTAATATTGATGTTACTGTTAGTTGGTGTTAACTGAGGCTATTTCTGGGCTAGGAATTAAGTTGAAATGTCTCAAAAATATATTTCCTCGATAATAGGAATAACTTAAAGACACATTTATGATTTTTCTAAATACACTATTTTATATATATATTGTATATATAAAATAGTGTATTTAAAAAAAATTGTAATAACGTCTGGATTTAAAAAGTTATAACAAAGATTGTCATAAAATTCCTGCGAAAATAACAATATAAAAGTAAATATATATTTTTATGTATTTTATGTATCTCCATGTATTCTGAACACTAGCATGTTCAAAATCGAAACATAAGATATCTTTAAGACATTTGCATTATATTATCTGGAGCCTCTTCAAGGTATGCAAAGGTTCTATATATGTATGTGTAATTAATCCCGAGTTCCAATGTATTTTAATACTTGAAGTTCTGTCATACTTCAAATACAAATTATATGCTAGGGCAAATCTCGTTTGACAGTAATGTTATCACGGATAACACGAACGAACGATTGTCTCCAATCTTTTTATCATTATATCTTTCAGGAAGCAGGTGTTGCATAAAAGGTCTACGCCGTTTGAATGATGAAACTACTTGCAGGCGTAGAGGAGGTTAGCGACCACTGTGAAAAAGAGTCCAATAATGGCCAACTGCACAACAATAATAGTCATGAAAAGCAATCTGCGACAGAATTGGCCCAAGAAACGACCAAGCCGCTCGTCAACAAGGTCAGTCAACGTCCGTACGTACACGACGTCTTCATTGTGTCGAATGAGATTCTTTAAATTCAGGACTAAATGAAACTAATTAAGACTTAATGATAAATCTTAAGAGTGCAAAATTAAAAATGAAAGCGGAATAAATCTGACGTGACAGTTCGTTATGCGATTATAATAAATAACAAGCGCTATTATCAGCTCTACAGATAATAACATATGAAAAAGTTTTGCGACAATCTCGCGGATAAAATCGATGGTTTGATTTCCGGAAATGGTAGCTCCATGTAAAGGACTAAAGTTGATATGCTCCATTTCTTGTTAAAGTCATCCGCTTCCGTTTTTTGCTAGACCAAGACATGCGACTACGACTTTCTGGGTTACGCGATAAACTCTGTAATTTTGCATTTCTCTTTTTCTCATGTTCTATGTTACAAGTTACGAGTACGATTAACAAGATTTTTCCATCAAGCTAGAGATTTCAAATAAAGTCTAATTTGCCAAAAAAATTTGCGGTATTCATCATTTGCGGCTTGCAATACTATTAGCGGTCCATTCAAATATAATAAATGCAATGATGACTGTTAATTATTCGACGAGTGCTCATTAGGAGGCGAAGGTATATATACATTGTCTTCCGAAATTGCATTCCAATAAAATCTAACATTATTTGCCAATTATTATTCTTCATTTTCCACGGTACTCGCTCTAATCACGGTCGATATTGCCCCGAGCAACGAAAATCGATTTCACTTGCTATGCAGCACGAGAGGAAAACGGATGGCGTAAACTTGACACACTCGGATGAAAGGCAGGTCCCGTTGTGGCCTACTTACCGCATTTTGTGAAAGATGTGGTATGATCGAAACACTTCTTGCCTACACTTTCGTGTAGCTTTTTCTGAATCATTAGGAGCACATCCTACTTGCATTGAATTCACTTGTCCATCCTCTTCCATATTGCTTGAATAACTTTCTATCTTGTATAGCGCTTCGTTCAGTGATAAAATTATATTTTGCACAAAAACATGCATGTACAAAAACATAATGTTATTAGTTACATTAATAAATTAATTATTTATTAATTATTAATTATTAATTATATTATATATCGATTATTTTTACTTTATTATTAAAAATAAATTAAAAGTTATTTATATTAAAAATTTATTTATCAGATAGATTTATATAAATAAGAACCAATATTTTAATATCACACAGTTGAATATTTTATAATTTTCTCTTTCAACAACTAATTATAATCTTTCTTTTAATATATTGTACAATTTTGGCTTAATTATATTGTTACTTCTTACTATAAATAATATATAATTAAAAAGTGGGAGGATAATTTTTATGCGACAAGAACTTTACTTAACTTGGACAGTATTTTCTCTTTCTAATAATTGTATCAAGTTGAAAAGGAAATTCATCGTAAAGTCACATCATTCCATTGTTCCTGCGCCGAAGAATGTGACAAACGGAAGCAATGAAAGCACTTTGTATTGTTCAGAATACTCTGAAGTGCAATAAAATGTCATTGTGTGGATTTCTTATGTAAGTGTTATGCACTTATAATTGAAGGTTCGATTACATGAGATAAAAAAAATCATTTTCATTCATTCGTTTACGGTTATGAAAGACAGAGTGAAATTTTATGTTCATTTCAAATGAGTGTGACTATATTAGAATATTTGAGAGAGAGAGAGAGAGAGAAAGAGAGAAAAAATAATCAGCAATTTAAAAAAATGATTATATAGTTTGTTTACTTTATGTAGCATCTTTCTGAATTTAATTTGTTTACTGCTTAAATAAATTGTTTTAAATAAATTTTTTTAGTTCAACCTTTAATACTGATAAATTCACAATTTTTTATACAATATTGCATATATAATAGATACTGAATGTCCTACTCAGTAAAAGTAAAAATAATTAGCGCCGAGCCACTACCGCGTCTCCAGATAAAAGTTTAAAAAGTATCATACGAATATATCTAAAATTTTACTCGTTCTTCTTTAGACTTCTGTGTTCGGGTATTTATTGAACATGTTTCTATTTTCCATTTTGAAATAGGTATGTAACGATTCGACAGATAAGAGTAAAGTTACACCAGAGGGGGAAGAAAAGTTGAGACGTTTGCTTCGGTTCGAGGAGGCACCACAATTTCTTCAACACAATCCGTACATATTGCGCGGTTACCGAGGCTGCTTGACCACCAAATTGTGTCTTGAGAGGTTGAGTTTAACATTCTTCAATATACTTGCGATAAACGAACTCTGAATCTCGGAGGTGATAAGCATATATACTCCGACAGCATGTGCTCCTTCATGAAAATATTGCATGTTTTAGCATATTTTGGTGGACGAATGAAACTGTGAATATATGGAGCCACATTTTTGGCTGGATGTTGTTCTTTGGTCTGACCCTATACGATCTCTGTCTATTGAACATTCACGCGCCATTTGGTGACAAAATTATCGTGTCTTTGTTGCTTCTTTGCTTTCAGGTAAAGATTTCGCCCGATATAAATGACTTTTGTTAAAATATAATGAAATATATAAATAAATAGATAAATGAAATTGTTTTAGATATGTATGATCCTATCGTCCGTGTATCACACATTCTCATGTCGAAGTGAGAAGGATTACTGGTGCTTCCTGTCCTTTGATTTATTCGGTATTGCTTTGAGCATGTTATCTATATACATGTCGGGGGTCTACTATGCCTTTTGGTGTCACAAGGTAAGGAAAGCATCGATTTCTCTAGCTATAATTTCTGCAATTCTACGTTACAGCTTATGCAAAGACAGTTTAGATATTTATGTACGCGATAGTATATACATTTCAGGAGTTTAAAGAAATAATTCTATTGTAATATATTTTTCGATATACTCGTATTAATGCGATCGATAAGTCAAATCAGTTTGCGAATCTTTTGCAGGAGCTACAGCGGTTTTATCTCATAACTGTGCTCGTAATCTTCATTTTTGCGATGATACTGCAAATACCGAGTCTGAACATCAACAGTAACATTAAGCTAAGTGTATTCGTGAGCTGGGCGATATATGGCGTTCTGCCAACGCTGCATTGGACTGTTGCGATGGGTGGCTTTGATAATCCAATCGTTAGAATGCTCATTCCAAGGGTAATAGGAATGTACATTATTAACGCGATCGCATTTGCGTTCTATATGCTTAAGATACCCGAACGTTTTTACCCAGGTAATTGTCGGCAATTATCGCTCTCGTTACCATAACGACATTTCTTGCCTCATACTGTAAATATTGAACAATGATATAATTGCACATTGTTATTCATAATATGCGTTTCCTACAGGTTGGGTGGACTACGTCGGCTCGTCACATCAATGGTGGCACGCGCTGGTTGTGCTAGCCCTCTATTATTGGCACAACACTGGAATGCTTTACGTGGAATATAGAATGAATCACGGATGTCCGAGTAGTATGGCATTATGACATACGGATTTCGACGACCAACCAGGTACATGAGATACTAGTCGTATTGTCATAATTCAACGCCGGTATGACCGATAGTGACACTGATATGATACTATAGATCATATCACGTTTTCGCAATGTTAATTATAGCCCATGCTGTCGACGCGACGGTTCTAACTAAGAATATCCAAGATATATTTTAATGCTAGAAGGACAAAAATATTAATTCTAAAAACATAAACACACCCATTAATTTTTTAATAAAAGTAATAATTAAAAAATAATACATTACATATATGTATATATATATATATAT